GTAAAGAATTTGAAAGGATATACATGGAAACCTATCATTCTTCAAATGATGTTGCAGGAGCATGATTTCGTCATGTGGGTAGATTCGTCTATCCGACTGATGAAAAACGTGGATGAATTATTCAACAAAGCTTATAATCGTGGAATTCAGATTCTTCAGGGCACAGGTTCTATCGCTGTACGAACACAGACACGACTGTTTGATTTGCTAAAAGAGAAACCTTGTATGTTTAACTATCCTGAAGTCCAAACAGGAATTGTTGTTATAAAACGTTCTTCATTCACACTTAAGGCAGTAATGTACCCTTGGGTATTGTGTGCACTTCAATATGGGTGTATGGATTTTCCAAAATCTGAACAATTCCTGGATTGTACACACGGGTCGAAATTGTCGTCATGTCACAGATTTGATCAATCAGTTCCTGGAATCATTCTTACAAGACTTTTTAATATAAAAAGAAACTTCGTAACATTTCTAGAGGGAGAATATGCCTTTGTTTGTTATGAATGTATGCAAAGGTTTAATGATAATGTATAATTGTTTAAGGTTCCTCTCTACACCAGTGCAGAATGTTTTTGAACATTGAAAAAAATATATTCTATAAAGGTGTTAATATTGTACTAATTGATTTAATTTTCAATATATGGTACATGGCATTTAACCCCAGGAAAATACAATTGAGATATGCGACGATTATATTTTGTCATCTTTCCTTGCATGTTTATAATGTACATACAATACAAATATAACCCTCCATCCCTCAAGGCTCTTCCGTTAGAAGCCAGTTTAAAAAATGTAGAACACCTGATGTCTGAGCAGAATTCTACAATATTTTAAGTATCTGGGTACCACCAGAAGAAGTTGAGGGAATGCAAGTCTTTTAAAAGTAGCACCAAATTCCCCACATCATTGGAGGAAAATCTTAGTGTTGTGATAAAAATACAATTTTATGGTGCCTCAAAAGTATCTCAAGAGTCTGGAACTCGATAGTACTGGAATAAAATCATTAATGAATCGAAAACAAAATACTTCCACGTTTCCAGTGATTGTTTCAGGAATTTCTGATACTGTAAACCAACTTTTTAGAAATTTTCGCGAGGTTCGCGAGAACCTCGTCATCGCGAATATTTCTCGTCGCGAAAGGATCCTTTTAGTCTCTTTTTCTATTAAAAACACTTACAAAAAAGGCTTTATCGCGAAAATTAATCGTCGCAAACTTCTTTATTCTCGGTAAATCGCGAAATAAAGTCGTTGCGAATAAAGGTGGGGTTACAGTAACCATTTCCAAGAATGGGTTGGACTTCTTAATTCTATAAACCACCCTGTAAGAAAAATGTTTCCTGATATGAAACTGGTAATGTTCGATTTAGGATTATAAAAAAAATATAGAATAGACGTCGAAAACATGTGTAAGTGTGACATCACACAATTTCCCTTTGACAAATATCCACCACATGTTAAGAATTTGAAAGGATATACATGGAAACCCATCATTCTTCAAATGATGTTGCAGGAACATGATTTCGTCATGTGGGTAGACTCATCTGTCCGACTGTAGAAAAATGTGGATGAATTTTTCAACAAAGTTTATAACGTGGACTTCAAGTTCTTCAAGGCACAGGTTCTATCGCTGTACGAACGCAGACACTATTCGATTTACTAAATGAGAAACCTTGTATGTTTAACTATCCTGAAGTCCAAGGATCATTTGTGGTTATAAAGCGATCTGCATTCACTCTTGAAGCGATGATGTACCCTTGGGTTTCTTGTGCACTTCAATATGGTTGCATGGATTTTCTAAAATCTGAACAATTCCTGGAGTGTAAAGATGGGTCGAAATTATCGTCATGTCACAGATTTGATCAAGTAGCACTTAGAATCATTCTTACAAGATTTTTTTTAATTTAAAAAGAAACTTTACATTTCGAGATGGAGAATATGCCTTTGTTTGCCGTGAATGTATGCAAAGGTTTAATGATAGTGTATAATTGTTAAAGGTCCCTCTCTACACTAGTGCAGAATGTTTTTTGACTTTGAAAATAATATATTCGGACACTGAGAAGAACATGGTTCTATGTGTCGTGGATGTATAGAGAGGTTTCATGATAATGTATAATCGTTTTCTTGCCAATTCAAATTTAAAGAAAATACTATAGTTTTCTACAGAATTTGAGTAACAAAAAAATATTATAAGTCCTCTATCATATCGATGAAATCGTCCGTTTTGTCTAATCATTCGTTTTTCCTTCTGTCTGCCTGTCATTTTGTTCCACTAAGTTTTACGCACTTTTTAGTCCCCTACTGCTGAAAAAGGAGGGGACTACAGGTTTCCCATGCGTCTCTCCGTTTGTCCGTTTATTCCTCAGTCTGTCCCACTTGGTTTTTTTTTGACAATTTTTTTAAAGCTTGAGATATTGAACGATTTTTTGGCATGTGCATGTATCTTGATTTGTTACAGATAAAATTTTAAATTTTGTTCCACTTCAATGATTCTGATGAAAATATTAAGCCTTTTCCGCATTTTTTTTCCCTAAACGATTGCGAATTTGAGCTGTTTTATGGTATGTTTATGTATCTTGATGAGCTATGAACTATTTTTGAATTTTCTTCCGATTCTGTGATTTTTGAGGAAAATAAGGCCTTTTTAATTGTAGGGGACTAGTAATTAGCTAATTAAGGAATAACAGTCTTATTTTTCGATTTCATGATGTAATAAGTTGATTGGCTTGCGTGATAATTTGAATAAACGCCGAAGGCCTTTATGCATAAAATTATCACGCAAGCCACTCGATTGATCATCGTCATGAAATTGAAAAATCTTACAGTTATTCCTTATATTTACATGCTTTTGATTCCGCCAATCCACGTGTCCCAAGCCCTGCTTCTGACAAGCTATTTGTTAGATTAATATGGATAGTTTCAAAAAGGTTGAATTTTGAAGATCATTCACTGTACATGTACAAGCTTTCAAACTGGTAATACCGTATAATCCTCATTAACCGCCCCGGGTACTTAGAAAAGTGCAAAAAGAGGGCGGATGGTTTTTTTTTTTTTTTTGGTATTCTCTTTATACTTTTTAATATGATATCTTACCTTCAAAAATATTTTGGGAAAAAAAAAAATTCAAAGAACCTCCAAATTGTACTTTAAATGAAGATAATCCACCTTAATTATGCTGAATCATTTTCCACCAAAAAATTGGATAATAAACAAGTTTCATGTTCACTTCCTTCATATTTGGTAGACTTTTGATACTATTTTTGATAATTTTAATCACTTTGCATGGGGCCCTTACTTCCTGACAATTGAAAAAGACCTAAGGGGGCGCTTATAGGGGTAGGGGCGGTTACAGTGTAATGGGGATTATACGGTATTTAAGAATTTTATGTCACATCATTTACAAGCAAATGGTTAAAAAATACTAGTTTATACCAATCCAGGATCTATTTTTTAAGTTTGCATCATCTGTCCTTAAATATTAAAATTTTAGTAAAAAAGATAGGAATTCATACATGATACAGAATCAAGTACACATACAAATGTATATACTGTACACAAACATGCCAAGAAAAATAAAATTTCCAACTTTTTTGCAATATCTGGATTTTTGAAATTCTAGTCCTATTAGTATTATTTATGCTTTGACACTTTAGATACAGTATATCACGAAATGTTCGCAACACCTTACTTTCGCTGGATATTCATTGACTCTTTATAAGGCAGGCATAATTTTCACGAATTGTTGTTCTTCTTTATAATCGTAAGGAATACTACATACATGTATTATACACGAGAAGGAAATTTCCATAGGTCTCGCGTAATTACGCGAAAATACAGTTCTCTCGAATAAAAAGTGATTTACCCTCGATCGTGGATAAAGAGTTCAATATGAATAAAATGATTTTCTTTTATCCACGAGCATCGATCGCCACACAAATCAATTATTTTATATCAAGATTGTGAATTTCGATTATTGATAATACATGCATGTTTACAACTGCATTTTTTGAATAAAACTTCTATCTAAATTATGTTTTGAACGTCTCTGACTGATTTCTGTCTTTTTAGGCCTTTTAACTCCTTATGATTTTGTTGATTTCAAAAATCAAATGAAAATATTAATATTTTTTTTAATAAAGTAAAAATAATTATACATGTATATATTCAGCAGCTGGTAATTAACTTATTTATTTTGAAAATTCGTTTATATTATTATTTTTTAATTCCATTAATTGAAATCGTGATGTGAATACCTATTAACAATTTGATATAATAAGTTAAAGGTATTAGTATCTTAAAAATAATTTTGGACTTTTTCTTATCCCTAAAAGGTAAAATAAAGTATTGCCATGTCTACTTCTAACAATTTCGTAATTATTAAGATATAATAAAGCGTTTGCATGGCTAATAGGGAAATTAAGACATTAATTGTGTGATATCACCTTAAAATAATATTATTATAACGGTAACCTCCACACCTTATCCCACAGGTGTAAATTGTCGTTTAAAGTTACTGACACCGTTAAAAATCACACTCGACTCGTATCATCACTCCTATCATTTACGCTTCACCATTAATCGGAAGGTGACATAATTATGAATGAGTACTCAACCTCATGGCAGGTCATCTCGAGTCTTAATTAAAAATGACCAAATTATAATTCTTTTATGATCTATAAATACATTGACTTCTTGATTTCATTCAACTCATTTGAATCACGAAGTCAGAAACAAATGCCTTGGATATTTCAACATGCATTCAGATCTACATAATGCAGAAATGCGATTATGTCGTGCCTATGAACAGATTGAAAGTCTAGACCGGAAATTAACGGATTTCGTCAGAAGATATAATCAAAGTATTTCGTCAGGAAGTCGTATGTTCAGGTACAAGATGCGCATGCGGATCGTCACATTGGAAGGAATTATGAATGCTTACTGTGAATATGCGTTATGGAAGAAAGAAGAGATTAAAAAATTAAGATCTGAACTTTACCAGGAAGAACCAGAAGATTTGTTCGGAGACAGAAATTTAGATTTTTACAGTGACGTCGATGAGAATGATGAAAATAGTGACGAAAGTGATGAAGACGTTGAAAATAGTCTTTGAGTAGACGTTACGACAGTTACATTTAGGTACATATCATGCTGAAATATAGCTCAGTGATACCATGTATAAAGTACAGACTCGGGATGACACACCCATTATATAGATGCTATAGATTAACTTTTATTTGTCAAGATACTTGAACTGGAACATTTCAACATCTCGGGGAAATGCTTTGTCGGCGAAATACATGTAGCATGCATGCACGACTCATGTAACTAAAAAACTTGGTTCCTATGTTGTTACATGTACATGGCGTGTGTATGAAATGCATCGATATCCAGTTTTCTGCTTAATTTTAATGTTAGAGTTAAATACTTGTACATGATATAAACTTTAATAGGGAAAATTGGCGAGAAATATCAAATGTTAATGAATCTTGCAACATTGATTATGGTTTCGAAAGTATTTGTTGTGTCGCGTTGAAATA